AGGCTCATCATTGCCACTACCGATCCCTTACTCTGCCACGATTTCTTCCATATACCAATCCCACTTCCTCATACAGTTCCGACCGGATACTGTAAGGTTGACACAGATCTTCCAGAACAGGTGCCATCCTCAAAACCGAAACCTACTCGGAGTCATTCCTATCCCCAACGGCACAGGGAACGCTCTTTTAAGAGACAGCTGCAGGATGGGATATTGGACCAACTACTGGAAAGTGCGTCTGACTCAGGGGCCTTCTGGAGATTATATAAACGACTGCGGTACCCGGGAAATGCCCCTTCTCTCGTGTCATTATCAGATCTGGTCGACTGCTTTGTACCGCGCATGAACCCACCATCGCATGTCTCCCCAGAGCTCCAGGACCGACTTCGGCAGGAATGTGAGCTTTGTAAACGGACCAACAAATCCATACCTTCAATCTTCGCCACTTTAAATGAGCGACTAACCGAAGCGGATATTCAACGGGCCAAAGCTCATCTTATTTCGTCCAAACTATCGCATGCTGCAGGTATCAATGGCTCCTCTTACGAGTGGATCCTGGATCTCGATAACACAATTTTGTGTGATCTCCTCAATGCATGTGTGGATGCTGGAGAGGTTCCAACGGCATGGCTAACAACCTTGATCAGAGCTATTCGGAAACACGGTTATCGCGACTTTTCTCAGGCCACTGAGTATCGGGCAGTCAGGCTGGAAAGCTGTATTCTCAAATTTCTCACCCTCATCATACACATGAAACTGGCTGAAGCCGCCGAGTCTGCGGGTATCATCCCACCTTCTCAGAACGGGTTTTGTGAACACTATCGCACAAATAATAATGTCTTCATTCTGCTTACTCTGATAGAGGAAACAAGATCTCGAGGCGAGTCTCTGTATGTGGCTTTTGTGGATATATCCAATGCCTTTCCATCGACAAACCAACACCGCCTGTGGAACAAGTTGTATGATTACCGTATGACTGGCCGGTATTTTGATTGGCTCGAACTTCTCTATAGCCGCATGTCATATGTTGTGTTACAGGAGGGGGAAATCTCGGAAAGCTTCCAGGCTCTATGTGGCGTACTAATGGGTGACCCTGCTTCGCCTACGCTCTGGAACCTCTTTCTTTCATCCCTGCAGCTTGATCTGGATCCACAAGACGCCTCCCTTTGTGGAGTTCCGATTTCCCATCTCGAGCATGCAGACGACATTGCCATTATCTCACGCACCTCGCTCGGACTTCAGAGACACCTGCGGGAGTTAGAATCCTGGTGCAATGAGAACTTCCTCACGTTGGACACAAAAAAGTCGGTCTTTATGATCTTTGGCCCCGTACCCGAGCCTCTTCCCATAATCACACTCTCCGGGTCTCCGCTTCATGTGAAGGACAGTTGGCCATATGTTGGAGTTTGGCTCCAGTCCACTTCGCGTGATATTTTCGCAAGCCACTACAAGAAGAAATTGCAATCAGCGGTGGTATGTGCTAGAAGTGTTTTCGGTTGCGAGCGTCTAGTAGGAAGACAACGAATCCCTCCACATATCGCTAGGGACTTGTATGTCGCCCTAGTAGATTGTCATTTGACACATGGTTGTGATGTTGCTTTGGACGTTGAGCCAACTTCTTGTAATCCGCTGTATAACATGCAACTCAGTTGCCTACGCCGCATTCTCGGACTTCCTCGTAATTCCACTATCTCTCCTCTCTTCACTGAGCTCGGTCTTCTCCCCCTCCATACTCGACGTCTCGAACTTAATCTCAAATTTCTGTCCTATACCATCTCATGCCCAGATGACACTCTGGTTGCTCTTGCATTACAAGCCAACAATGTTCTTCGGTCGAGGGGCAGTTCTTGCTGGTTGATGGATGTTGATTGGGTTTTAGCCAACTTACCTGGTTCCCATTATCGACTTCCTGCTCTGGAAGACCTGACGACATCATCAATCGATACCATTATCCATAACATCAAAACATTGGCGATACGCCGGCTGGACGATGACCTCGATAGTTTACACAAGTTGCGCTTATTACGGGGGTGTTTGGAACCTATGGAGCATGACCCGCCGATTGCAATTTCACTGCATTTGCGACACTACCTCCATCTAGTCACGAACTTTCGTCACCGTCACTCTCTCACTCGTCTCTTATGTGGTTCCTTGGCCCCGGGAATGTTTCGTGCAACTCCAGGAAAATGCTCTTTAAGTCCAGGTCAATCACCAGCACTCCTTTCTTGTCGCCAATGTCATGCTCCTTTCGAAACTCCCGAACATGTACTTCTATTGTGCAGAGGCATTCCAGAACTCATTCCGATCCGCAACAACTTTCGCACTCTTGTTGCGGTTTCCATTCCAAATCTTCATCCACTGTTTCCACTCAGTGACAGCGACGCGATTTCTCTACTTAAGCAAGCTATTTTCTCATGGACCGCGGTTCCCACCACAGCAAAGTTTATTCATGGGGCTGTTCAAATTTGGTCTGCATCGTTGACCGGGAATCGAGTTTCTTATGGATCTGAGGGAGAGAGTAGTGACTCTGACGATGTTTCCTCTTGATTGCATGGTACTTCTAGTAATGTGCATGACATCCCTGGGTGGTGGTGCGCTGGTTTTGTCGCCAGTTGCGTGGGATTTGGCATCTCCTGTAGACGAGGACTACGCGAGATGCTGTCCATGATCCGGCAAGAGCCGAAAAGGCCACAGCACGGTTACGCCTGCATGGGGACATGGTTTTGCCCTATCACCCTTCCTCTTCTCTGCTGGGGTCTAATGCACGATCTATTTCACTATGTAATCAGGTACTAAGCTAGCCTTTACTTTACCTTAGGCCTGCTACCATCCCTGTCCCCGCCTGACAGTCTACCTTCTCTTCGGGAGTTGAGCTCGCTGTCTATGTGGGTACAAGGACCGGCCGTTTCCTTTACGGGACCGCAGGCGATTTTATTATCGTTTGGGCCATGTAATCTATCTATCTATCTATCATACCTCATAAAGAAGATCTAATGATAACGTAGATAGAGTAAGTTCTTCCGAGTTCTCCTTACCAGAAGCGTTCTTCTTTGGAGCTGAAACCTTGCGCTTTTTTTTTGGCAGGCTGATCAGCATTTCTTCCTGAGTGTTATGTTAAGTAGTTAATTCGAAATGAATAGAACAGGGAGAAACTTGCCTGTCGTGTCATAATCACTCTGGTCGGACTCATCGTTGTGTAGATCTATTTCATGCTCAAATTCCGAGTCTGAATCTTGTTCAGTTAGTGAATTTGCGGGTGGAAGGGTGGATTGGCCGGGCGTTTTCATAAGAGCGAGGACGTGACGATGTCACAACGTGTGGTACAGTCACGTGAGCCCTCACTTCGGATGTCACGTGACCGACTGGTATGATATTGATCCGTACCCGAGGTATATAAGTATGTACATGGAATGCATGTTGTACGCTGTCTTGTTGGAAAAGTGTCGCTTTCAGGCGTATCTCGCTTTTGCCAGAAAATCGCGGCCACAGCCAAACGCTTATGAATTTTGGATGAAAACCGGCTCACCCAGCTACAACTAATCGCCCGAGCCCATCTTAACACCCTGTGGCGGAGAGTTCCAAAGGACTTTGACAATCAACTACGAATACCTGGTGGACCCAAATTCTTATCGCTAGCGCCTAATTTGCCGGCTCTTCTTTGCTGTAACTACAGGACGCGTACGGCTAGGCTAACTTGATGTCACATACCTTGCCACGGACGCGTTATTTGTGGGTTTTCAGAGTCAGACTGTCAGACCGTCGTGATTGCCAGCAATGGTGTATCTTTCGCTCTCATCTTATATCTTTCTCAGCCTCTCCACGGGCATAGGCTTAAGCTTGAACCGTCAATGGCGCTCATCACAGTGTTTGTTTGTTCAAGCGGCACTCGCCGCAATGCCTCTTAGGCTTATACCCTCTGTTCTTTGAATACAATGGTTCAGTGCACGTAGCCAACTGGTGGGTGTTGAACATTGACGTTGAGCACTTGGTGGCCCGATTTTACCATCATAATTTTCTTGACAGCTCCTGCTTTAATTTTGAAGCATTCTTAGCATTCTTTTCTTTCTTCCTTTCCTCCTCATGGATAATGCTAATGAAGGTTTTCGTGCACCCAAGGCTCCAGCGTCGTCCGCAGCACCAGCTCAGGCTGGCCGTGGCCGCGGTCGGTCTCGTTTTATCCAGGCAAAGCAAGAAACATCAGCATTACGCTCTCCAACGCTGCCAATGATTCCTGTGCCTACACGTCCTCCAGCCTCTGCTGTATCACGTTCTCCAACGTTGCCGATGATTCCTATGCCTACATATCCTCCAACTCCTGCTGCATCAGGCTCTGTACTCTACTCGGCAATACGTCCAGAAAAACCACGTGACTTTTCAGTTCCCGTTCCTATCCCGCAAGCCATCCCGACAAGGGGTATAATCGCATACCCTCAGGTTGAGGTTACAGATCGAGCTAGAAAGAAAAATTCGCGAAAGCTTGCAGAGGAACTCGATGAAGCGTTCCCAACCGCTGATCATTGGAAAAGATTTGTCGCATCAATGAACGTGAGGCATCTCCCTGAGGGCGAAGTCGAAGAGAGTGAAGGGAGAGCAAAGAAGAAAAAGAACCCAAGAAAAAGAGAAAAAAGGTATCTTGGTTTCATCTACGGGTGGCATTGAATTTACATCGTATTGCAGACTGCTCAGGCTTCCACCTCTACAGAGTCGGCCGAATGAATATCACCAGCGTCGATAACTTCTTGATGGCAGAGTAGCTTTGGTACAATAGTTTTGAAATCATGCACACGGAAATATTACTTTGCGATACTTCACTTGGACCAGTTGGCTTCGGCGGCCCGAATTTCCTTCGATGATAATCGATCGTCGATCGATCAAAGCTGTACAGATTCAATGTCGTGTAAGTCGCTGAACTTACGCTTCACTTGCCTGTTGAATAACTGTAATGTGCTTTTAGTTAGATATTTCGCCGACTTGTCCAGTGCTATTCCTCTTTAATCAAGCCGACCTTAGCTCAGTTGGAAGAGCACGAGACTGTAACAGGCTAAACACTTCATCTCGGGGTCGCCTGTTCGAACCAGGCAGGTCGGATGAGTATGTTATTTTACCCAGAAAGAAATTTTTTTTGGGCTCAAAAAAGGTGAACATGTGGCTTGCGCGGAAGTATAGAATTCTCTTCAACGGTTTGCAACTGTTAGTTTAAACCAGGCAGGTCGGATTGACTGCTTAGACGTACAATCTGGGTTACAACCAACGCAGGCCAGGTCAATAGCTTTTTAATCTTAAAACCTATACGCGCTGCGTCTCAAGTAAGCTTACACTCATCTTTCGCCAGTGCACACACTTTCGTCCCATGTGCATATATTTACTTACATCCATACTATACAAATACGAAAACAAAACCGGCAACAAAACATACAAATGAGCCCGTTTCCTTTATAATTACTCGTACATTGTCTCAAACTCAACAAATCTTTTGATGCCCTCGACTACTTGCTGCTTCATATTTGCGATCATCGTAGCACCTCTATGACCAACCTTGCTTCCTTCATCCACACTCAACCCCTCCAGCCTCAGCGAAAGTTCGAGGTAAGCAGACACGAGCCAATCTTTTACATCATATTTGTTAGCCAGCTCAATCTTTTCTGCAGCGGAAGTGAGGCTTTCGAGCTTCGATATGGCAAGTGTACGAATCTGCCCCATGCTGTAGCTGTGGGCAACATGGAGAACAGAGGACCAATCAGCCAAAGATTGAGGCTCATGCTCAAGAATATTTCTGCGTGTTCATTAGTGTCTGAGGCCCACCTAGCGGATGGGAAAGAAGAGACTCACTTCGGATAAAACAGTGAAAGGACAAGCTCAAACTGGTGAGGCTCAATTCCGTAAAGTCGAGTAACTGGCGGCCTTAACGGAGGATACGTGCACAACAGCGGGGCATGCTGCTGAATAAAATGGGCGTGGATTCTGTACGCGGTATCCTTTACCTGAATAATACGTATTAGAAAACATTAACTCGTAGACTCGTGCAATGCTTACCTCAATAAGAAAAGTTGCATCACTGAAGAAAAATCTTTCATGGCATTTAGTACTCGGGCTGAGCCACGGACTCGGACCTAAGCCTGACTGCAAGTGCGGAACAAACCCAGGTGGAAGCAAAGGAGGGTACATGTTTTCTCCCGGAGTACAAGGAATCACAGGAGGAATAAATGGGCAAGCGGGGGAGTTCCAAGGGTGCATCGTATTCGAAATTGGGTTCGGAGTACGATCAAACCGCGGAGAAGGCGAGAACAAAGGAGTTGACCATGGATCAGCATGCCGACCATTGTGAACAGGGGATAAGGGTAGTAATGGAGATTGCCTCATGAATGGAGGAAAGGGAGGCGGATGATAAGCAATATCCGGAAACCGAAAGAGTGAGCTCGTAGGTGAGTCCGGGGTCAGAGGACGTGGGCGTCTTGGGATGGGAGGCGGAGGGATATAAGGAGAGTTAGCAGTGGACGGAGGAGTGACCACAGTCAATGGTTCCCTTGGAGGTCGAGAACTGTTCTCAGGTTCACCGTTTACAGTGTATAACGACTGTGGCGTTGACAAACGAGAAGCAGGGCTACTTGCGCGCACCTCTAGCCGGCCCTTGGGCGTGAACAGTGTGAGTGAGTCGGCTATTTCCAGTGGACGAATACCGTTGTCAGACGGCGTATAAGATGTGGGAGGAGTAGGCGGTCTGATGTAGGATAGCTGTCGCCATGGATAACGGTGAGTGACAGGCTGGTATATGGTACTGCTACGCTCTGGTACAGCAGGAAAATCATTAAAGTCTAGTTGCGGTGGAGGTGTCGAAACAGTTATATGGGACCTGGACTCGCTACGGTTGGATGGAGAGCTCAACAGAACACCATCATAATCTGACAATGGGCTCGAGACTCGAGGAGTTTCTTCTATCCTATCTGTATTCGTCTTGGAGACAGAGTGCAAAGACTTGGTTTCCGGAATAATCATCGTTGGAAAACCAAGCAGTACTAGAGAATTGAAAGGAAGGGAGTTCGTTCAGATTGTGGCGTTTGAGCGTTGGTATAAATGGGAAACAGATTGAGTCATGCGCCAACTCCCACGTTGTAAACCTTCGCGCTAATTACGTTTTGACGCGACGCGACGAATTCTGTAGCAAGAATTTGAAGAAGATAATCCGAGTTAGGCCCAATCTGCCCAAAGATTTAGGCCCCTCAAGCACCACCACCGCCAACAGCAACCACAATACAGCAATTTGAGTTTAAAGCTTCGGCAACTAATATGATAACTTCGGCAGACGTATCGAGAAACGAGAATCATCAATGCCTCATGATAGGTATACGTACACTTATCCTACTATGTCGGGTTTTCACAGACCAGAAGATAGCCTGGAAGAGAATAGGGTTAAAACAGGATAGTGGTAGCCTATATGTGGCAGAAATTCCTTTTAGCAATGCGCCACTATGGAATCATGGATGCAATCGTGGCCGAATGCATATAGGTACCATCGCTTTCCCAAAATAGACATAGGCGTCTGAATTCGACAGCTTTTTACTAGAGGTTTGTACAAGCTTTACAGCAGAATTACTATATGAACACTGATTATAGTTTATTGTCCGTTTTCAACTGTCCCCGATGTCCTCTCGTCCAACACCCGAGTATTGTCTTCATCTTTCAGTCCTGGATATTCCATCGCCTCTCTCCCCCCGAATTCCACTTGCTGAGCATTGGGTGTGAGGCCAGGCGAGGGGGATTCGTCCCGAATAGTTTCATTTTCACTTTCATCTTCATTGGTAAGGAGAGCGTATTTCGAGGATCTGCTACGAGAGCTATGACCGTGGCTAACTTTAAGGGAATTTGGAGCTCGAGCAAGTTGACCGTGTCCTTCTTCCAAGTCTGCAACCTCCCTCATCCGCGGGGTTATTAAAGCCGACATATCCAATAGCGCCTCGGAACCATTATCACCAGAGGCCGAATCATTCGAGTGGGTAGCGGTATGACTGCTGGCCATGATGGCAATGGAAGAGACCACATCGTGCGTGTCAACACCTAGAGCGACACGAATAACGATCAAGGAAGGTGCTATTCCCTGTTAGGAGATCTTAATTTGTGGGGTAAAAGATTAAGAGGAAACGTACAACAATCTGCGTTAGAGACGCTAACAGACATGAAGCATATATCAAATTATGGACGGGTGCCATTGATGTTATCGAAGTCGCAAGCACCATAGCGGAGTATACGATCCCAGATTCTAGGCTATGGGAATGATTGCACATCACCTCAGTGACCTTGAAATATAACGGACAGGGCACGTACATGATAGCAGCTATCATATTATATCTCGTCTTCACGCTGGAGCCAAGGACTTCCCCAGCTTCATTATTGATATACCAAATTTTTCCAGCTGGAAAGAGTGAGGATTGGGCCGAGGGAAACGAAGAACACACACCAGTAAGCGAACTCAAAGCAATGTTCTCCACAAAGGTCAATATCCAAAATTCAAGCACGAAGTTTGCATTAAAGGTTATTGCTAGGATTCCCATAACTGATAGATCGCACCATACTAAAGTTAAACACGGCTGGAGTATAGATATGCTCGACTCACCAATATTAGCAACAAATCCTAGCACAGGCAGAAACACCACCCGTCGATCTCGATTCCAAATAATATAACAACGATAAATCTACACAACTGCTTAGCGATTTGGATGGATGGAGAGCGGAGGGAGACTGACTAGCAAAGCATCTGCAATGACACTGGAAATCGAATCATCAGAGATCAGAAGGATCATTGTCGAACAACCAGCTCACTCTGAGAATATATATATTCCAAGTACCGTATAGTCCTTCACCAACACATAGGCGTCCCCGTTTGGATCTGATCGCGCTCTAGCTTGGTTCACCCACTGCACGATTACAGATGCCGTGCTCGCAAGGATAAGCAGAAGCATCGCGGCCATATGAGCTTTGTAACACGCGCGTTTTCGGCGGTAGAGGATGACCATGCAGAAAAAGAAAAGAGGGAGATAACATGCTGGGAAAGAGGAGTACGCCGCTGAGCATTAATACACCGACACTACGAGATAGAGTGTATCGTACCATAGAAGAATAATGAGATCTGTAGGACTCGGATTTAATAAAATATTCACATCCAGTAAGGTATAGAAGTACTCACAGCAGGAGGGAGTGCATAAATCAGAACACCCTCCGACCCGGCACTCCGAACAGTGAGGTCCAAACCCATTTAGGCAGACATTAAAGTTTGGGTGAAAGGGAGGAAGAGATGGGAAAGCAAGAATAATTGCTGTAAATAATTGCTGTAGATAAATATGGGGAGCCAACCGCGGTTGTCGATCCCCGTCAACCCTGCGTGGGCAGTGTTTAGGAAGAAACAGATGTTCAGAGACGAATCAGATTGCTGTGCAGCGCTTCTGCGTGGACATCGTGAGAACTTTCTTGCGAGAAGATTCCATTCATGACGTCAAGTGTTGCATACAACTGTTACAGCTGTTCTGTCTCGAAGGTGAAGCGACAAGCTATACGACGAATGCCTCTTGCGTACGGTCACATAGGAGGCACTGAAGCGTACGAGCAGAATCGTACCAAACCTGCAAGCATTTCTACACCAGCCTTTGCACCGTCGACAACCAGTACAGGAAGAGCCATAGGATCTGCTTCAGCAGCGCCTTGCACAACCAGCGATTCCATTCCGGTCATACCTGATAAGTTGCAACATTCAATCAACCATAGAGATTGCGTGTTACAACTCCACATACCAGCGCATCCTAATATAATTACATCGGCGCCCATCCGGGCGATCTGCCCACTATATTCTTTCATATTGGCCTCGATTTTCTGGCGATCACCCTCTCGTAGCTCGACCACTCCAAGACCAGTCGTAACAAGCCCAGCAAACCTCTGAGAATGGCCACCCATAAATGCTTGCACGCCCTTGCGAATGTCCGCCTGGTACCCTGTTCCAGTTGTCACAATCCCAAAGCGCTTCCCAAGTAAAAGGGATTGAGTAATTGCACTTTCAAAAATGCCAATGACAGGTTTGGAAGTTGTTTCACGAAGCATGTATG